ATCACTTGTCGAAGCTGTAAATAACGTAGAATTAACTAGCTCTAAATGAACTATTGCTACTTTGCAATCTAGAATTTTTAATTTTTCGGCAAAAATTTCATTTTTAGTCATTCCAAAAATAACAGGACACATTCCTTCCTCTCCTATTAATAAATTATCCTTGAAAATTCCCAAAGATATAGAATTAGCAGACCCTTACTTCAACCAACCTGCAGAAGTGGAGGCTCTCATCGGAGCGGAATTATTCTACGAACTTTTAGGATCATCCAAGATTCCATTATCACTTCCAAAAACTGCAGTATGGGACACGAAACTAGGAGGAATAGTAACGGGAAAAATTAATTCTATTTGGAAACCACAACAAAAACTAAAATGTCATCTAATAAAAAATGAATTAGATGAACAGTTAGAAAAATTCTAAAAAATCGACGAGTGTGTGGAAACTAAACATTATTCGAAAGAAGAAGAGACATGCGAAGCACACTATAGGACACACACTCAAAGAGATGCAGAAGGAAAATACATATTGCGGTTACCATTTAAGGAAAATATAAAGGAGTTAGGAGAATCTTTTGACAATGCAAAAAAACAATTTTTTGCATTAGAACGCAGATTGTCAAAAAATGAAGAAATAAAGAAAAAATACTGCAAATTCATGGAAGAGTACGAAAAATTGGGACATATGGAATTAGTCAAGGGCAATTTTAATGATAGGTATTTTATACCTCATCATGCGGCACAGAAAGAAGCCGACAACATTAAAAAGTTTCGCGTTGTATACAATGGATCGAAGATGGCATTCAGTGCCGACATCGAGAAGATGTATCGACAGTTTTGGATTCACCCACAAGATAGAAAATATCAGAAAATTTTCTGGAGAGCAAATTCCAATGAACCCCTAAAAATATACCAGTTGGCAACTGTAACGTATGGTACTTCAGTCGCCCCCTTTTTATCAATTAGATCGTTACACCAATTAGCCAACGAAGAAGAAGCTTCTTTCCCAATGGCGTCGAAAATATTAATGCAGGACTTCTATGTTGACGATATGTTGACCGGAGAAGAAACACTAGAAAAAGCACAGCTTGCAATAAATGAATTAATTGAGTTGACCAAAAGGGGAGGACTTAAGTTATTAAAATGGTCTTCCAATCGTCAGGATCTTCTCAAGGACATTCAGGACGATGCAAATCATGCATGTGTTAAGCTGGATCCAGATCATGCAACCAAAAGATTAGGAGTATCCTGGAATTCTAAGGATGACATGCTGTTAATCGATATTCACCCTGTTGAAACTCAAGAATGTTTAACAAAAACATATGATGAACAGATGAACATATGATGTTGCTGCTTTGCGCGAAATCACGAGTTGCACCCTTAAAAGTGATTAGCTTGCCGAGATTGGAACTCTGTGCAACTTTGACCTTGGTAAAATTATTGAAGGTTGTAAGAGATTCCTTGAATTTGCGTTTCGAACGGGTAATACTTTGGTCCGACTCCACCATAGCTCTAAGTTGGATTTCATCTTCTCCACACGAACTGAAAACGTTTATCGCAAATAGAGTTGCGGAAATCCAAGAACTCAGCTTTTACTCCGAATGGAGACATGTATCATCGGAAAATAATCCTGCGGACTTCATATCACGTGGACAGACCCCAAGGGATTTTTTAAAAAACGAAACATGGAAATATGGTCCAAAATGGTTGGCAAATGGTGAGGAATATTGGCCTTTATCGGTTCTGCGTGACATTGAAATTCCAGAAAGAAAAGAAAGCACAATTTTGACTGCAACTTGCAATGAGAAAAAATCAGATATATGGACCAAATTCTATTGTTGGAAAAAATTATTAAACACAATAGCATATTGTTTACGATTTATTTCGAAATCACGTAAACAACAGTGTAATTCGGGAATTTTAACATCATATGAATTATTCGAAGCAAAAATTCGATTAATTGCTCTCATGCAGCGAGAAGAGTTTTCAGAAGAAATTGAAAAATTGAAAAGAGGGGAGTCGTTATCTACTCGATCAAAAATTATCAAGTTAAATCCTTTTCTCAACAACAACTTGCTGAAGGTGGGCGGAAGAATAAAAAATGCGGACACAGAGATACAACCTCTCACTATCCTCATAATTCGAGATTTTCATAAAAAAATGTTACATGCAGGTATAAACGGCACTCTATACGCGATTAGAAACGAATATTGGCCAATTTATAGTAGACTTGCTGTCCGTTAGGTTTTGCATAAGTGCATCACATGTTTTCGTGTTAAACCGAATAATTCAAATTACCAAATGGGCAATCTACCAAAAGTAAGATTAACACCTGCGCGAGTATTCGAAAATGTAGGAGTAGACTTTTGTGGACCGTTTTTTGTGAAAGAAAAAACTTATCGAAATCGAAATAGAGTAAAAGTGTACGCAGCCGTGTTTATTTGTATGTCAATAAAGGCAGTTCATATAGAACTCGTAGAGGGTCTAACTACTGAATTGTTTATAGAAGCCTTGCGACGTTTTTTCGCGCGAAGGGGTCGTTCAAAAGCAATTTATTCCGATAACGGAACAAATTTTATCGGTGCAAATAACAAACTGAGCGAACTTTATGGCCTTCTCAACACAAAAGATCAAGTAACTAAAATTGAAAATTATTTGTCTAATGAAGGCATAGAGTGGCATTTTGCACCACCAAGAACTCCTCATTTTGGAGGAGTGTGGGAGGCGGCCGTAAAGTCGCTCAAACACCATTTACGGAGGACAATGGGCGAGACATTGTTTACGTTTGAAAAACTGAATACTTATATGTGTGAAATCGAAGCGGTACTCAATTCGCGACCACTCACCTCATTGTCTTCAGATCCGAACGATATGCGAGCGTTAACACCAGGTCATTTTATAATAAATGATTCGTTGATGACTATTCCAACTTTAAATTATTCGGCAATACCTGTAAACAGATTGTCAACGTGGCAACACATGCAAAAAATAAAAAATGATTTATGGAATAGATGGCATAGCGAATATTTAACTGAGTTAAACATTCGGAGTAAATGGCATACTGGATGTTCGAGTGTAATAAAAATCGGAACTCTTGTTGTATTGAATGACGAAAACCTGCCACCTTTGCGTTGGAGGCTAGGTAGAGTAATTGAAACTCACCCAGGCGACGATGGTATTGTTCGAGTGGTTACTGTCAAGACCGAAAATAGAATTTTAAAGCGAGAAGTAAAAAAATATCTCCACTTCCCATTGATAATTAAAAATTTTTTTAAACAAGTTCAAGGCAGGCAGTATGTCGAAGAACGAATGTGATTGAATGTACGAGAATGAAGGTTGACGAATTTTGTCGAGTGTTGACGGATAATATTGTGACGAATAAAATTTACGAAACGACAAACCAGTACTCTCGTGACTGGCGAATAAGAAACTTATATCTATTATCTATTATATTTATCAAATAAATAACGGAGTGTTTTTGTATCAAGATAAATATTTGTATTACTTTGTTTCTTATTAAATCAAGTGGAGTGTGATTTAATAAAGGATTGTTATTTTAAATTCAGACTTTTATTTATTTATTGTTTAAACTTTCTCACATGGCAATTTTATCAAATTGAATTGCTTTGTGAACAGTCTCCATTATCGTGATTGTAAATATTTAATAAAAATTAATTTTTTTTAACTAAACAAATTTTTTTTTATGAAGAACAACAATATATTTACCGAAATATAAAAAAAGAATCATCTCTTAAAGCATTATATAATATAAAAACAATAATTTTAGACACCAATCCAGAGTTGAATTTCAATCCGAAGTGAGCCATTTTGAAAGTTTTTCAGACAACAAATTTTAAATCATTTTTAATAAATTAGGGGAAGTGCGCCGGTTGTGGGCACCCCTACGTAAACTTTGACAGCAAGCAGATTTTATTGATCTAAGTATTGCAAGTCGTGTTCGTTGACAATACGGACTTTTCGTATTGATAACGAAACAAATATATGCATTTCTGTAATAGCTGTGAGCATAATAAAGAAAATTTGCATTAAATAAATAAAAAAGTAATTTTGTAATGTTTTCGAAGAGCAACATATGGGTGTAGATTCGTTCAGAAAAAAAGGGTTTAATTTTTTTTTGCAGTGTTGTTATTATATTTTGTGATATACCTTCGTGTTTAACCAAAATCCTGCATCACAAAATGTGTTGATCTTTTTAAAAAATGACTGTCATTCCTGGTTGTGGGCATCTTTATGTTAAGGAGGCTCTACCATCTGACAATGATGTGGACTACTGTCTTATCTATCTACACTTTCTGCCAAGGAAAGTGACAGCCACAAACTCCATTAAATGCGATGAATATAGTCGTTCAGTGCATTAGAAGTGCGTTATGGTTTGCGTACTAGCTACTTCACATGCAAGCATTATGCTTTTGTTAGCGATGAGCATAGTGTGAAAACGTGTCATCATTTTTGTTCTTTATCCCGGCAAAGTCTCTTAAAATAAAGAAACTTTCATTTCTTCTTTATTTGTTTTGGTTTCCTTTAATATTTTTTCATTTTTAGCGGATTTTTCAAGGGTGCCCACAACCGGGTACAAAAATTTGTTTGTCAAAAAATTTCCATTTCACTAAATTTCTAATAAAACTTTTTTATTTAAAGGAATCAATTTAATTCCTTTACTGACAGTCACCTCAGACCTCTAGCTTTAAATTCGTACACATACATTTGTATAATATGCACATGGACAAATGTTATGAGGCAAAAACAAAAGGGTGCCCACAACCGGAACACTTTCCTTAATTAATACAAAAATAATCCAAAATATGATACAAGTTATAATATCTTATGTGTCAGGTTCAAGGAGTGATTTTTTAGAGTCAAAATTTTTTTATATTATTTAAAATATTCATTAAAATACAAAATACCGCGATAATACCCACTTTTACCCTAGTGGGTAAAATTTTTTTTACACGAATACATTCGTTTATTGTTTTAATGTGAAGGTAAGACAAGGTTCAGAAGGTTTTTCCGACCATTGGCACCAATATAATACTTTACTCAATGAGAAAATTCTACGCCATGGTTTTAAAGGTTCAGTTAATGACGAATATTCGGCGAATTTTGTATGGGATAATGGAAAAGATTGGAGAATTCCAAATAAGAAGGAAGGAGGTTGGATTCGAATTCATCCAGTCACAACTATGGAATCTACAAACTCTGATGTGTTAAGAAATTCCTTTATGGAGCCTCCTCCTCGTGTGCTTGATAAGCAAATCAAAATCACTGTCAGTTATATACAAAAGTTAGTAAAATACATTTCATTAAGTATGTTAATTTCAAGAATGTTTTTATTTGAATTTGATAAAACTAAATACATAATTTACTTGTTAAATCATTCTCAAAGAATTTAAATTTTTTATAAATTTTTTAGCGTGAGCGACTATTAAAAAAGATACGTTTCTCTCTAACATAACCAAAAGAAATAAACTGATATCATGAAAATAGATTTCGACATCAACCAATAGTGACATCTATTAGATGTCAATTAAGCTCTTGGTTTAGAGTTACACATTTTTATGATAATTATATAAATATGGTTATTTATAAACAATTATCAATTTTAAATTAGTTTTGCTCTGCCAAATAAGCTGCTTGTCAGAATGCACTGTGCAAGAGACTTTAATTAACATCTAATAGATGTCACTATTGGTTAATATAGTCGAAATCTTCTCTTTCATCATTATAATTCTCAATCAGTGAGAAACTCTAACATTAAATGAACGGATGTCTTTACACATTTTTGTAATGGTAGCATTCAAGTCAAGTTAACATTGTTCTTAGTCAATTACAATTTAATTAACTATAATAATCTTCTAATTCTTTCATTCAATCTGTCCAGAGCGTGTACATTCTGTCCACAGTGAGAGAGAAAGATTGATAGACAGAAAGAGAGGGAAGTATAGGGAAGTATCGCCTGTCCTTTTAGTTTAGAGTGGGAGCGAAAGAGAGACGAATAATAAAAAAGTAATGCCCACTTTTTGGGTTTAGAAAGGGGTATCATGTTTTCTCCATTTTTCGGGTCAGGTAGAAAGAGAGGAACAGAATTTGATTTATTTTTGTTAATTTTTAGAGTTGTGCAAAAAGCCCGAAACGTCGGGTCGGGTCGAGCCAAATTTTTTTCGAGTCAGGTCGGGCCGAGCTCGAGCTTTCTCGATGTATCGGGTACCCGAAAATTTCGAGAACCCGAATGTATTCAGGTACTCGAAAATATCGGGTTCCCCGAAATTTTCGGGTACCCGAAAAATTCTCGAGAACCCGAATGCAATCGGGTCACCCGAAAATTTCGGGTTACCATTAACTACAATTAAATTCTTAAAGAACTATGCGATCAAGTTTGGCATCCTATTTTTGTGTTCACTACAAAAATGAATAATCTTGATTTGATCTTGGCTAACGCATGCTTAAGCGATTTCGAGAACCGGAATGTAGTCGGGTACCCGAAAATTTCGAGAACCCGAATGTGGTCGGGTACCCGAAAGATTTCGGGTATGTAAACAAGCTCGACCCGGCCCGAGCTCGGCCCGAACCCGAACTGACTAAGCCCGACCCGACCCGACCCGAAAAGTGAAAAGCCCGAAATTACCCGGTCGGGTTTCGGGCTTTTTGCACACCTCTATTAATATTGTTTTGCATAGTTTTGATTAAAATGTTTTAGAATTATAATAGGTAAGATATTGCAATTTTTAATATATTTATTTATTATGTAGGGGAATGTAGTCAAGGTTGGCCTACTGTCTAGGTAGGCCACTCGCGTTTTTATGTCAAGTTCACTAGCGCCACCTACGCGCATTTTTGTCGAAGCTTGTCTTAGTGAAACCTAACTTTCTGTTCAATTACATTTTCGGAAAATCGAAAATTGTGTTTTCTGTGACGTCGGTACAAAAAAAGCTCAAAAAAAGTTTTGTGCATAATGTGAAAAACCATTAATAAAAGATAAAAAACAAATTGAATCGTCAAGGCAAGTATGCAGAAAATTTGTGGGACTCATGGTTGAAAGGAAAACAAAGTAAAAAATCGAATCCCGAAACGTATTTCTTTATGGTTACAACAATTCGGTAATGTTACTTACTGTCAAGGTCGGCCACTATGTGTTTAAAATGCGCAAAGTTGAGGACGAGCTACTTCATTTGCAAAAACTGCAATTCTGTATAACTCATAATATAATTGATCATCTTATTAATATTTTTATTTAATTTTATTAATATTTTAGTGCAAAACTTTTTTTTATTTATATTTATTTTTTTATATTGTTTATTGTTATTATTTTGTTATTTCATTAAGTTACAAACTGTAAACAATAAAGAATCAATTTTCCGTAACTCCAAACATGTTATTTTATTTTTTAACGATTAATGCCCTTTGAATTTTAAACATGGCCGACCTTGACTGTAATGGCCAACCTGGACTACAAATTTTTTTTTTTTTAAATCTTTATAACTTTTTCATTTTTAAACCTGTCAATTTACTTTGTACAGAAAAAATGTTCCTATTAAACAGGACTTTCCAACCATATACTTCAATTGTCCAAATTCATTTTTTAAAAAAAGTTATAAACAAAAGTCAAAAAGGTGGCCGACCTAGACTATGTTCCCCTACTTATTATGATGGATTAAGGCTATATATTTATAACAGTCTTAATAAGGGATGCTTAAATGAAGATAAAAAAATATTTAATTAGATTATATCCTTTCAAATCACCGGTAGTTTTTTAACTGTTAATCTTCAACCGAATGGAATTGACTGTGGCATATATGCAATAGCGTTTGCAACATCTTTATATTACAATGAATTGCCAAATACTGTTAATTATATTCATAGTGAAATGAGACGACATCTAATTTTTATGTTTGAAAATAATCGTTTAATTTCATTTCGTTCCGTGAAATTGACAAATATTATTAGACCTTTTTTTGTTGAGTATGATTAGAAACGTTTTTTAACGGATGGAGCTACAAAACTAATAGAAATACCAAACTCGTCTTTCATTTGTGAAACTAGTATCAGTATTAGTAATAATAATGTGAATAAAGGTATATCTACAGAATATTTAGAGGAGAAGCTTAATAAAAATGAAAACTATAAGAAAAAGAGACGTCGAGCAATAAAGGATAAGAAGAGGAAAAGGGAGGAAAGGCTCAAAGAAACAGATGAACAGATAATAATCAGACTAGAAAATGATAGACTGAGAAAACGTAATTACCAAAAAACTAGAAATATAGATAAAGAGAAAGTAATGAAGCAAAACAATTTAAAAGGTAAAAAAATTAAAGTAGCTCTAGAAATAGAAAATGAAACAAAAGATCGACAAAATTTAAGTGATGAAGATTATAAAATTTTAAATACTGAAGGAAAAAAGTTAAATGACAATCATATTACTGAATTTGAAAAATTGCTGAAAAAAAAATCAGACAAGAACAAGGGCAAGGAGAGGAAAAGGAAGGCAAGGGTTGAAGAAACAGATGAACAGAAAAAAATAAGACTAGAGAATGATAGATTGAGAAAACATAATTACAGAAAAGCGAAAAATGTAGATGAAAAGCAAATAATGAAACAAAACAATTTAAATCATAAAATAAAAAAATTATCTTTGGAAACGGACGATGATAAAAGAACGACAAAATAATAATTTAGAAAGTAAAAAAAAAATTGTTATTGGAAACAAAATTAGAAAAAGAGCAGCACCAAAAAAAGGATTTAACAAGTAAAATTGATTAAAAAAATGGAAAAATGATGGAAACTTTAGGAGTTGGAATTATCTTGTCTGAAGATTTTGATGAAAATAGAGTTTCCAAAAATTATTTAGGTTTAATGAATGTCAAATGTATATTTTGTGACGCGTTACATTTTTTGCCTGAAAGGCCACAGGATAAAAAATTTAGTAGTTGTTGTCATAAAGGAAAAGTAAAATTGTATGATTTAAATCCTTATCCTTTGTATTTGAAAAATTTATTATTTAATTTAGTAACTTTAAAAGTAAGAATTATAAGGAAAATATTCGTCCTTATAATAGTTCGTGTGCATTTGCTAGCATGGGAGCTAAATTAGAAGTTCCAAAAGGATATGGTCCTTATGTTTTTCGTATACATGGACAAGTGTATCATGATACATACTCTATTCATCCTGATGATGGAGATAACCGAAAATATGGTCAATTGTATATTCTTGATCCTGACGAAGCGGTGATGGAACGATTGAATAACACAGCCACACAAAAAAAAGTTCTGACCTGGGGGTCTCACTATGTAGACTTTATGTTTTTTGGGTCGCTGAATCCGAATCCGAGGTCCATTTAACACCATCAGATCAGGATTTTGACATAACCTCAAAAAACCCATATGGCAGACACATTTTTAAAAAGTTCATCGGATTCGCTTGAAATTCGTTACTCGGGGGTTTTTGGGGTCGCTGATTACGAATTTAAAGTCTGATTTCAAAAATTCAATATGGCGGATCCAACATGGCGGACACGTTTTTGAAAAATTCATCGGATTCGCTTGAAATTCGTTACTCTGGGGTTTTTGGGGTCGCTGATTACGAATCTGATGTCGGTTTTTCAAAATTCAAAATGGCGGATCTAATATGGCTGACACAGACATATTGGATCCGCCATTTTGAATTTTTGAAATCTGACTTCAGATATGTAATCAGCGACCCCAAAAACCCCAGAGTAACGAATTTCAAGCGAATCCGATGAATTTTTCAAAAACGTGTCCGCCATGTTAAATCCGCCATTTTGAATTTTTGAAATCAGACTTTAAATTCGTAATCAGCGACCCCAAAAACCCCCGAGTAACTAATTTCAAGCGAATCTAATGAACTTTTCAAAAATGTGTCCGTCATATTGGTTTTTGGACGTTATGTCAAAATCCTGATCTGATGGGGTTAAATGGACCTCGGATTCGGATTCAGCGACCCAAAAAACATAAAGTCTACATAGTGAGACCCCCAGGTCAGAATTTTTTTTTGAGTGGCTGTGTAATGAATGTAATAAAAAATGTTTGCAATTACTAATCACTGAAATAGATATTTTACTAAGAGATATTAATATTTATGCAAAGTCATTTAAAATTATGAAAGAATTGGAATTAGAAGAAGAAGCAAGGACAAAATTAACAAATGAGTGTCCGAGAAGCATTCAAATATGGTTTAAACGTGATACAAAATTTTCTCAAAGCAAATATAATGTTCCGTCTTGCAATGAAGTAGCAGTCATATTTGTTAGCGAAGATGGTGAACCTCCAA